GACGGGAGAACTGTGAATCATGATGAAAGTCTCCTTCTTAATGTGGCCTCTATGACCACTCTCGAGCATGTTATATCTGAGTCGTTCACCCCCTTATGGGAAAAGCTGGTGCGTGTAAATGGCATCCTTTCAGATCCGCGGATTTTGCAGCTAGCTTTCACTGAAGGTGCGGGAAGGACTACTTCAAACATTCCCGCACGATAAGCGATCGCATGTAAAGCTAATATAGGGTAGTATTCTGGATTCCTATTTAGCTGCCGCCAGTAAAAGTAAATTCGAAAATGGTTAATCAACAACTGCTCCTTTCGTACGCGACAGGGATTAATTACCACCGTCACAGACCACCTTCGCACGCAGTAGTCACTAAACTCTGTTGCCCCCATCGCTCGTTTCTTCAAAGGTTTAAGACTCGCGGGACAAAACCGAGATACAAAGAGTTCTGCAGTTAATGTAAGTTGCTGCATAAGTCCCCTCAGTTAGACGTAAGACACACAAAGGAGGATCAAAAGCGGATTAAATCAGAGACTTACCCTGTTTTTTTAATACACGGAAGGTGTCAGTGTGTTGGTGGGCAAACAGACCACCGATGAGTATGTCTGCGTTCCTCCGCAGCAGATTAAGGAATCGTTCATTGTAGTTGTCGAAGAAATGTCTATACTTTGAAGGGCTGTTCTCAGTGGCACCGGGCGGGAAGTGACATATGAGAAGCACCTAGAGTTTTAGAAATGAGTATTAAAACAACCGCTACTAAGTTAACCTCAGTAGGCATTTTACATAACATTAAATAATACCTTTGTATTGGATTCACGAGCCCGCAACAGTGTAGTCTCCAGCCAGGCGAACTGTCCTGCCGGATCAGGCAGAGAGGGATCAGATTTCTTGTTGTTCAAATACCAAAGCATACCATTGACAGAAATTAAAACTAATGATGATCCTTCACTGATATTGACTCGGCGGGAGAAGAAACAACCTGTAAAGCGAGGTCGAAAAAGCACACAACGTTGGTATTCGTGGTTGAAGCTTCAGAAAAATGCCCAACAAATGGTGCATAAGTTGGAGCATGTTCATTAAACATAGGAAGTACACTTAATTCAAAAAGATCTCGGTCAGCGCGGGATGGAGGCTCAACAGGATAGTTTGCCAGGCTACATTTCAATCCCTCTAAAAGATATAGCCCGAAGGGCTGACTGGAATGGCTTCTTCCTGATCTAGTTTTTGTGACAACCTACGCATATGCTAAACCAGAGAAATTAAGGCATAGATCGTCCAGTGGGGCTTTCGGAATGTCAGTTACTGTGTCCGCGCCCATATCCGGTCGCGTTTACACCTCAGCCTCTAATCATAGAAACGTGCCAGACGTGAAAAGAGTGAGGCGAGATAGACGCATCGCAAGTGGCGGTACTCGCTCATACTAACACGTAAAATACGATGACAGTCTTCGTTAAGAGTAGGACCGCCGAACCCGCGTCAAGCGGAGATCTGGTTCCCCACACTGTCCAGTAACGCGCGCAACTGAATTTGGCAGCACTTTATACCGTCTCTAATCTTGTTCTTTTTTACCTCGACAGCTAGTAGGAACTCCAACATGGGTAGGGGGCGCTCACCGATCGTTCTTACGGAACTCACTCGTTCCGTTGTGCCTTACGGGCTCTCTCTCTCTCGAGCCAAAAAGCAGCCGCACAGCGGCGCATGATATAGGCAGTATGCTTTTACCGACAAAGACAAGGGAGGCTGGAATGGCCATTTCTGGCTTATTTTCCGTCGTCACCCAGTCAATTTCAACCCCGAAGTGTGAAACACCCGAGACTCGAACTCACAACCTGTTAGTTAGAAGTCCTGTTAGATCGGTGAGCGTCCCCTACCATTGTATATTCCCGATCGAAAACCGACAGGGCAACGGGCTCGTGGCCCAGTGGTTAGAGGCGTGAACTTCTAGCTAGCAGGTCGCGAGTTCGAGGCTCGGGTGTTCCACACTTCGGGCTTGGGTATGGCTGGCTGACGACGGCTAATAAGCCAGAAATGGCCATTCCAGTGTCCCTTATCTTTGTCGGTAATATCATTCTGCCTATATATCATGCGCCGCTGTGCGGCTGCTGGTTGCGCTTGAGAGAGAGAGTCCTTAAGGCACAACGGAACGAGTAAGTTCCGTAAGGACGATCGGTGAGCGCCCCCTGCCATTGTATATTCCCGATCGAAAACCGACAGGGCAACGGGCTCGTGGCCCAGTGGTTAGAGGCGTGGACTTCTAGCTAACAGGTCACGAGTTTGAGCCTTGGGTGTTCCACACGTCGGAGTTGGGTATGACTGGTTGACGATGGCTAATAAGCCAGAAATGGCTATTCCAGTCTCCCCTGTCTTTGTCGGTTCTAACAAACCTCAACATCGAAGACAAGCAACAACATACGGATTGCTGACTACTGCTGAATCCACCAGCGGCCCATAAATGGGTCAGTCAGAGCTTCCTGCAAAAGAGGTCCGGATAAACGAGCACTGAAGCACGCATGCGTTGGTGCCACAATAGGCAACGAGCTAGAGAGGACGACAGCGAACAAAAGCTCCCGGAGAATTGTGAGGGATTGA